TTCGTACCCAGTTTGCTGGAGATGTGGGACACAGGTGGGCACGGTACTTCACATTTGGTGGCACTGCGATCTCATGTCTAGCTTCTGGAAGGCAATCCACCATCTGATACAGGAATTGACACTCACACGGTTACCCTTCACACCACTAACTTGCCTCCTGCTACACATACCTACAGATATACCCAAAGAGATACAGAAACTGGCCTTTCATATCCTCTTGACAGCCCAGAAGGGCAATAGCTAGATTGTGGAAATCCTCAAGGCCCCAACAAGTGACGGAAGTGACGGAAGTGACGGAAGTGTGTATGCAAACTGCTCCGCAGTCTCTTCCCCATGACGACAACAGCCGTAGAGGCTTGGGGCATTTAGAGCACCTTGAGATCAGGTGGGCCCCAGACGACAGAGTGATGCTCAGGTACCTACGACTAGTAGGCCAGAACATATCACAAAGGATGCTAATAGAGTCTAATGGAAACTAATAGAGACAGGGAACATGGGATGTGTGATGCCAGGGATACTATATGGTTTCACTGCCAAGTTATACGTTATATGTATGCACAAATGTGTAGGAAAATACTGTACACGACAAATGTAATTGCAATTATAACTGTGAATACACGACTATGGGAAACTCTGAATGCCTACCCTTCCCCCTCCTCTTTTTTCCTTCTGTACCCTACACTCCCTCATGTTACGTTGATGAAAATGTCAATAAAAACATCAAATGGAAGAAAAAAAATCCAGGGTAAGACTGGAGAATGATTAAAACTGGAACTGGGAGAGGAAGACGGCAAATAATAAATCTAGTAGAAGAGAAATATGACAGAGAACACCACTGTCACCGAAAGCAACACTCTGACCTAGGCTGATGCATTAAAAATTGTAGCCTCAATGTGGGAGCTCACCCCTGTTACACTGTAGAGATTCACTCCACTGTTTAGAAGTATACCCCTGTGCTTATCAGTCTTGTGCAATGTAGAAATACTTGTGGGGACTCATCAATTTAAAAGCAATGCAGAGATATTTATGAGAGTTGTCCCTTGTGCTAGGCAGTATAATGCAATTCAGAAATACTTGTTGTGGTTCACTCATGTGCTTAGCAGTATAATGCCATGCAGACATTTTTATGGGGGCTCACCCATACTGTACTTAGCAGTAAAATTCAATGTAGAGATATTTATGGGTGCTCACCCCGTGCTTAGCGTTAGAATGCAAGGCAGAAATATGTATGGGGGCTCAATCCTATGTGAATAAACTGAATAATACTAAAAGTTACATTGAATTGAAACAAAAATTTTTAACCACGGGAATGGAGAAAATAAAAGTCCAGAAATTGAGGTAAAGCACTATTGCAATAGGTTTGGCCCATCACAGAGGTAGTAAAAGAGAAGCAATAGGTGAAACGTAGGGACAGTCTACTGGTATATATGGAGGAACCAGGAAAAGGGACAGAAAGACAGTAGAAAGGAGAGGTAGAGGGGGAAAGGGCACTAAATAAGGCATCACAAGATAGGTTTCAAATCTAAAGAAAAAAACACAAGAATACCATGTAAGGTCACAAACACTCTGACATGTGCTGATACAGGATCAGCAAAGAAAGTTGAAGTGACTTCTTACCTCCTATTACTCTTTTCATTGATTGGTTCTTCTGTTCTGTTCTATTTTTTTGTTGCTGTGGAGTTCAGTAAAGTAAAGTAAAATATGAGCCAATCATGCTATAAAGTTGAGGTTTATCTATATGTCTGTCTGTCTATCTATCTATCTTGTCTATAAATTACATTCCAAAGACCTCACAGGGTAAAGTTAATAATTCATCAACACCCATGATAACCAATTAAATAATGTTAATAATTTCTTATGGTCCATGAAAACCCAAGTACTAGGCTTAAAGCACTCTCGGAGATGGATTTGCCATAAGACTGCAGGCCTCAGGGCAGCACACAGGAGTAGGGTGGCACTACTGGACCCTTTATTGTTGGTGCTTAGTTCTTTACCCTTCTCACCTGACACCTGCGATGCAAGGGCCTGTCTCCAGGATCTGCAGGAGAGCATGTAGAGAAGACGTTGGCATCATAACCCCGTGCAACTTCCAGCTGTCTATGGGGGAGAAATAATATAAAGATTTGTGTGAGCAGGGGGACAGAACAACAGGACAGGTAATTTTTTTTCAATTTGACAATTTTTATTCTGTCATAGTCAAATCAAGGGGTACAGAAAAGAAGAAGGAGAGGGGAATTAAAATGTATCACATTACGTCCATTCAACAGTGACATATATTCAATTGGTACAGTAAGTGCAACATGTACAATGTATGCAATAAACATTTCAAGGTCATATTCCACGATATGCAACATATCGCACCCATATCGCACCCTTCAGAAATACCTTGTCAACAGGTTATTTGCCTTTGCATGAACACAAGCCGCTGCCATCGGTTTCATCTGTGTCTACTATTTACAAATATTTCAGTGGACCTTTTCATTCAGTTAAGGGGGTACAAAAGAGAAAAAGGAATGTCATGGGAGGGATATCTTATACCATACTACAAGTTCTACCAGGTGCTGTTTATGGCTCCGTGGACGTCTAGTATAGCAGATTTACCATGTGCATGCTATAGTGCCCTAAAGGGCAAATAACTCAGTCCAGGGATGGGCAATGTGGGCCTCAAACCTGTGGGATTAGAAGCCCCACGGTGGGTGGTTCCTGGCATTCTTCAGTACAGGTTATGTCTGTGGAAACCTCTGAGGTGAGCATGGTAATGCATATGAAGCAAGAGATGGCTCGTAGGTGAGGGGAGGTTGGAGGGAAGTAACTTGAAATCTCTAGCGTAAACCAGTATTCATGCTGTGGTTGTGTTGTGCGTGTGAGTTCCCTGCTCATGTGGGTTTGTGGGTCTCCCACTGTTCCCATGCTGTGTACCAGTGTTAGGCATATGGACGTCTGACCAAGAGTTAATATTGTTTGTTAGAGTCTATTGTTGATATACACTGTTCTATGGTAGGGGGGAGCGGGACCTTCCACTATCTGCCTAGTACCATAAGGGTTGCTATGATAATGTTGTATATGAGATATTGTTGTCTTTTCTGAAGTTGTTTCAGAAATAACAGAAGGAGAAATGTTTTGGGGTGAAGAGGGAGATTGACCCCTACACAACATTTTATCAAGTTTACTACTGCTTGCCAATATGCACCAATATGCACAGCCACCATATGTGAAGCATGTCACCTCTGTCTCCCTGGCACCATCAGCACACGTCCAAAGTGGTAGGGAAGCTGTGCTTCAGGCGTGTGGGGACCAGGTACCACCTGTATAGTTGTTTGTGGGACAATACAATAGGAGTTGAACACAGAGTTAGTGGTTTGTGGGCAGTGAGTATCTGTTTCCATTGGGAGTCAGTCAAGGTTGTTTTAAAGTCCCTGTCCCATGCCCTTTTAAAGGAGAAGGAGTTTAGGCAGGATGTAGAATATCCTGATACATACATTAAGGAGATGAGTTTCTGTCACAAACTCCGGAACCAGACACCCTGACAAAACACAAACACAGGAAGTGCAGTACCGGTCCTTAGAATGGCCGGGCTATGCACACAGAGAGAAGTCAGGATACAAGCAAAAGTCAGAGAGAAGCAAAGAGATAGAATAATCGATAATAAAAGCTAAGGTAAAGGGTCAGATAAAGCAGGATAAACGGTGAGACCAGCCAGAATTTTGGTAACCAGACAGTCAGACAAACGGAAGAGTATACGCTTCATTGGGCTATCAAAAGACCACAACAGGACAAGGAGACATTGGAAAGGTAAGTATAAATACCCTTAAGTTAACTCTGATTGGGTAATTTCCAATTAGAGTTAATTATCACACGTGGGAGGTACTTGTACCTCCCACTTTGACCTGTGATGTCACTACTGCGCACCGAGCCAGATGACAGACCTGGGCGTGCCGCAAGTGGAATCTCCACACTTCAGCTTTCCGCGAGTGGTGGCTTACGGTGCCCACGCGGTGATCACAGATATGTCAGCTCCCCCAGTGGCCTTCGGAAAGCTGCACGCTCTACCACTTGATCCCTGTGAACCAGCGATGGATGATGGGGGCCAATCTTTTGGAGAAAATTTTTGTGATCAGTTTAATGTTGGTGTTCAACAGAGATATAGGTCTCAGGTTTTGGAGTTGGCATGTTTGTGGTGCAGCAGTGCTGCTAGCGTTTTCCCTGCTTTGTTGCCTTGTGTATATGTCCTTAATTTCAGTTTGGTAAGAATATGTGCGGTCTTATTTAAGGTCAGTTCGTTAATGCGGTTTGTTGTTTCTGCTATGAGTTTCGCCTGTTTATCAGTTGGGTTAAATAGGTGGGTGTTGGTGGCATCCCTTAGTCTGTGGAGAAGGTCTAAATGCTCTTGTTGAGATTTGCATTTAAGGTAGGAAGCACGACTAATTAGCAGCCCCAGAATACCGGTTTGTGGGCCTGGCAGGCAGAGAAAGGGCCTATATCTTGTGTGTCGTTGAGACTGAAGTACATTTGTACGTGTTCTGTGAGTTGATGAACAAAAGGGCTATAGTTGAGAAGGGAATCGTTGAGCTGCCCATGTGGTTTGTCTCTGTGTGGATAATTGTCTCACAATGTTAAGTGTAGTGGAGCGTGGTTTGACCACACAATATTGCCCATTACACAGTGAGTTATGAGAGGTAGGAGAGAGCCATCGTAAATATAAGCTCTATTCTTGAGTGTGTTTTGTGCACAGCGGAATAGTAAGAATATTCCCTATCATTTAGGTGACTAGTTCTCCAGGCGTCGTACAGGCCGTGTTCCATAAGTAATTTCGTAAGTGCTTTACAGTTGGGGTTTAGTTTGGTGTGTCTATTGGATAAGTCAGGGATGGTCATGTCCACTTTGGAATTAAGTGTATGATTAAGGTCCCTGCATATAATGAATTGGCTGTCTGTGGCATTTGGTAGTTTTGTCAGCACCTTATGTAGGAAATTACATTGTTGGTCATTGGGGCTGTATAGCCCTACTAGAGTGTATTGGATGTTGTTCAGAACAGGTATTTTAGGGGAGATAAGGAAGAGGAGAACAAGTGAGGATAGGGAAACAAGTGAAGGATTGGGAGAAAGAAGAGGGGGACAAGTGAGGTGTGGGGAGAAGAAAGATACCTAAAGGACACGTGAGGGAAGTGGAAAAAGAAGTGGGTGAACAAATGGGGAAATGGGGAACAAAAAACAAGGGAACTATTGGAGAAAGGGAGAGTTATGGGGAAAGGGCATAATTAAGGAAAGGGGGAGAGAAATACATGTGAGGGAAAGATAAATGGATATAGGGGGCTGGAGAGAGAAATAACAAGAGGCAAATGGGAATTTTAAATCTATACGTACACACTAAATACCTAAACATGCACTCTAAAACTTCACACAAATATACTCCTACGTACACATTGCCATTCAGCCACTAAACCACCCACATACTCCAAACAAATCATATTCCGCTCTCTACCAAATCAGTCCCATCCTACCTCCTTGTCATAACCACTCACCCTGACACAGTCACACACTTGGCTGCATAATCCTTATTGCACCCATATTGCACTTACTGCCATCCAGCCATCCACCTAGTCATAATTACTAAACAGTCATACCTCACATTAGCACATTCATTCATCCAATCACATACCCCAAACTAGTCACATTCGTCTTTCCAATCACAAACACCAAGTTTCATAGATATGACGGGTTGGGGCGATTGAGGAAACTGGCATCAGAGAGGGTGAACCCGGCTCAGACTCTTTTTCTCTTTGCAATGGTTCCAAAAATTAACATACAGCTGATTTGATGTTCATACCTAAAAAAAGAAATTAAAATCAAAAGTTGTGAAATTACAGACACATAAGCCATCTGTGACAGGGAAATAGTATAAAGTAAACCTTTAAGACATTTCTGTTGAACAAGATCATTACAAGTAATTAATATGATTTTAGGACCAATTAAATGTACTTAAAAGATGGAATCTGTCTTGTAAATATGTCATAAGGACATTTATATGCTATAACATTCCATGTATGTATTGTGCTAGCAAAATTACTCAAAATTGTGTAGTTTACATTTTATTGCCATTGTTCATCTTATTTTTTATATTTCTCACCATTGTTTTAGTGTTTTGAAAAACTCCAAGAATAGACAAAAGATGAAAAGATTTTCAGATTAAAGGGACACTATAGTCAGTCACCAGAGCCACTACAGCTAAATGTAGTGGTTCTGGTGTATACATTATGTCCCTGCAGTGTTAACACTGCCTAGTAACACCTCTAGTGGCATTCATTCAGACATACACTGGAGACGTACTCTTACGTTTCCAAAGAGATGCATTGGTTTAATTCATTTCTATGAGGACATGCTAATTTGGGCAGCATGGTGTTTTGTTATGCATGTGCAATAGCCTCTCAATGCTTTACTATGGCAAAGTATTTGATTGGTTAAGATCACCAAGTTTGATGATCTCAGCCATGGAGGCAGGACCAGAAAGGGCCAGTCGCAATGAGACCGGTGCGCCATGGGAGTAAAGTTAGGTTTTAAACCTTTAATCTCAACAGAGAGGAGGCTGGAACCTAAAAAACGATTCCTGCACTATAGTGTTTGTATTCCTGACATTACAGTGCTCTTTTGACCCCTTAGTGACCAGGCCGTTTTTCAATTTTCTTACTGTTAAGGACCAGGGCTGTTTTTATATTTCTGCAGTGATTGTGTTTAGCTGTAATTTTCCTCTTACTCGTTTACTGTACCCACACATATTATATACTGTTTTTCTCGCCATTAAATGGTCTTTCTAAAGATATCATTATTTTCAGCAAATCATATAATGTACTATAAAAAAGATATAAAATATGATGAACACATTTTAAAAAACACACTTTTTTTCTAATTTTGACCCCCAAAATCTATTATGCATCTACAACCGCTAAAAAAACACCTGTGCTAAATAGTTTAAAAATTTTGTCATGAGTTTAGAAATACCCAATGTTAACATGTTCTTAGCTTTTTTGTGTGCAAGTTATAGGGCTATAAGTACAAGTAGACCATTGCCGTTTCAAAATATATATTTTTAAAATTTATCAATAGTGACATTGTAACACTTTTATCTGTCATAAATCTCTGAATCACTCTTCACATGTACATATTTTTTTAAAGTAGACAACCCAGAGTATTCAATATGGGGTATGTACAGTCTTTTTAATAACAACTTAGTCACAAACACTGGCCAAAGTTAGCATTTATATTTGTTTGTGTGCTAAAAATGCAAAAAACTATTATGAACGCTAACTTTGGCCAGTGTTTGTGACTAAATGGCTACTAAAAAAGACTGAACATACCCCATTTGCATACCTTGGGTTGCAAATAGTATGTCATCATGGGGGTAATTTTCATTCTTGGGCTACCAGGGCACGTGCGTCCTATAGGTGCCAGATTTGGGTGACCTGGCAGGAGGGAAGCACTGAGGGACATGGAAGAGAGGAGAGAAACTACTAAGGGACAGGGGGCAGGGGAGAGAAACTGCTAAGGGACGGAGGGGACATCTCTAAGGGAGGGGAGAGGAGGAGAGAGCACTATGGCACAGAGGGGTAGGGGAGATCACTAAGGAACAGTGGAGATCACTAAGGGACAGGAGGGGAGGTGAGAGCACTAAGGGACAAGGGGGAGCCTTGATGGATGGGTGGGGATAGCAATAATGGACTGGAGGGGATATCACTAAGGGACAGGGGGTCAACGGAGAGCACTAAAGGACAGGAGGGGAGGGGAGAGCACTAAGGGAAGGAGGGACAGGTGGGGAGAGCACCAATGGACTGGAGGGGAGGGGATATCACTAAGGGAAGGGGGAAAAGAGAGAGCACTAAGGGACAGGAGGGTAGGGGATAGCACTAAGGGACTTGAGGGGAGGGAAAAGCACTGAGGGACAGGAGGGGAGAGCACTATAAAAAATTCACTGAACACTGAAACTTACAATGCATCCCTACTCACCCACAGACACTCCAAAAACACACAATGTATCCCTTATGCACACACAAACACTGCTTCTCTTACACACACACAGAAACAAAAGGCATCTCTTACACACAATCAATGCACCCCTTGCAGACACACCATGCATTACATTACATACACAGAAACACACCTTGCATTCCTTACACATACAAACACGGATTCACACAATGCATCCCTTACACACCCAGAAACACACACTGCATCCCCTATACACATGCTACATCCCTTACACAAATTGGTATCTCTATACACTACATTCTATAAGAACACACACATTACATCCTCTATAATATCACATCCTCTACACACGTACACTCCACTCTCACACTGTTAGCGAACTCATGGGTGGGCCATGTAGGTGGACTTATGGGGGGCATTGTAGGCATACTCAAGGTTAGGCCATGGCGGCCCAGACCTTGAGCCGTGTAAGGGGCCCCAATAATTGAGCTGCTTCCTGTTCGTTGATTTTTGTGAGCACTGTTACAAACAGTCTCCAGAGAGCCTCATCTACACCAGATCAGTGGAGCCAGACTGCAGCCTGAGCCCATCATCTTCCACTTGTCCTCATCTGGTGGTAAGTAGGAAATCCAGTATATTATTAGTGACACTAATCTCGAATTTACCTCACATTAAAGGGACACTATAGTCACCAGAACCACTACAGCTTAATGTAGTGGTTCTGGTATCTCAAGCCTGTCCCTGCAGACTTACCTAGATGCTCAACAATAACCTCCTAAAAGTGACCCTCAATGTAAGTATTAGGTGTACATGCATCATTGTCATCCCCTCCAGGAAAGAAGTTTAGGTCAGACCCATGGTCTATAAAAGGGATACACCCAGGTAGCCACCTTGTATCACTGCTGTTAACAGGTTCTTCATGGACAAGAGATTGAACCCAGGAAGAACCTTCAAAAATATTGTCCGGGTGAGCATAAAATCAAATTTAGGCCTGCTAAAGTCGGCTCCTTTCTAACTGCTGGAAAACAGGTAAAAAAAAGACTGAGGCTTCTGCAGAAGGAAGAGGATTTATTCATTAATTGATACGTCCTGTCCTGACTGCTGAGTGGGGAATAAACCCATTAGTGATGCTGCCATGTTGACCAAGAAATACATTTTGTCACAAAAAAGTATATACTTTTTATCTTAACATATGACTGAGAGCCATATTCCCCATGAACTAATTCATGGTAGCTTTATATTTTAAGATATGTGCTCCGTTATGCAATATAAAGGAACATGTTTTAGTCTAGAGTTAATTGCATTTTTTTCATTTTATTTATTTATTTTTTAATTAGTGTTACTTTCTCAAAACTTACATGAAGGATCCATGTAATACTAAAAATATCTATGAGATGCTGTCATTAATAATATTAACTTTATGTTTAATAATAAGAATGGCTATTGCAATGAATTACATTAATTCAACATATTATTCTAGCACTTTCTATTTGATTAACTTATTGCTATGCTCAATATTGCAGAAGCTGATATAATCTACAGAATATTATACAGATATTAGGCAACAGTATTTCTTTCACGTTTTAATAATATGACCTAGATTCATTACAACTTGATTAATATTTAAAGCTTGCTAAGTTTTATATAATAAACAATACAGTATTTGATCTTTTGCCATAACTAAAACATTAAAGGATCATTAATACCTTAATATAGATATAATTTTCTAACAAAATATCACACTGATACAAGTACAAATATGTATGTAAAAGCTGTTGTATGTGCCTGTTATGCATTAAACTAATGCAATAAGCCTAGTATTTTTGGCAACGCAGGAAACATGTTCATTTGCAATTGTTATCTACATATCTAACAATATTGGTGGGATTTCAAGGGGGCCTTTAAGGGGGCAACTTTTGTCACTGGCCACATCCTTACTGGGAGGGCTTGCCCAGAAAGTGTGTCATCCTACCCAATGAAGGGTATTAGGTGAAGCGATCTCTGCATGATCCGCTGCACAGCGCAAGTGAGTCTAATGATACACTTGATCTGTGCTGCCTGCGACAGCTCCATGGTTTTTGGACAGATACAGGACACAAAGGAACTAAATCAGACAACAAGACTAGACCCCAAAATCAGGACAGTTGGGATCGCGGTGATCTGGGGTTAATGTTAGTAAATGAAAGAAATGTTCCGTCATGCATCCTTAAGGGTAATGACAGAAAAGGGGTT